AGCAATCTGAAACTTGGAAGACAGCCGTTACCAGAACCTGACCATGCTGGCACCCTGATCTCAGAGTTCCAATCTCCAGAACTGTGAGACATAAATTTCTGTTGTTTATAAGCTCCCCAATCTATGGTACTTGTTATAGCAGCCCAAGCTATAAGACGGTGGCATGACAACTTTGAAGAATAACTTGGGTGTGTGTTATAAAGTTGACAGATGCATATGCTCTGCAACCCAGTAACGTCACTTCAAGGTGAAAATCTCACACATACACAGGAGACATGTACAATGATGGAGTACTTTTTGTAATAGTGAAAAATGAGAAAAAAACCTACAAAATTTATCAACAAGGACATGGATAAATGCACTGAGAAACAGTCATTCATAAAATGAAATACTCTACAGCTGTTAAAATGAATAGGCATGGGGGCGTCTGGGTGGCTCAGTCGTTGGGCGTCTGCCTTCGGCTCAGGTCATGATCCCAAGGTCCTGGGATCGAGCCCCGCATTGGGCTCCCTGCTCGGCGGGAGGCCTGCTTCTCCCTCTCTCACTCCCCCTGCTTGTGTTCCCCCTCTCACTGTGTTCTCTCTCTCTCTGTCAAATAAATAAATTCTTAAAAAAATAAAATAAAATGAATAGGCATGTATGTACATCAAAACAGATAAATCTCAGAAATGTTAATATTGAGGGGAAAAATCAAGTTGCTTAATGATATGTATAGTATGATACAAATTTTGTAAATATTAAAACTGCCAAATACTGTTTCTAGGTGCATACATTTGTACAAATACATGGATGGGAAAGACACCAACTTCAGGATGGTAGTTCTGCTGGGGAGGAAGGGAGGAAAATGTGATCAGGGAGAGGCACAAAGTAAGCGTCAACTGCTCAACCATATTTGTATCCTTAAAGGACTGAAAACAAATACAGAAAATATTAATGTTTGGTAAATCTGTATGGTGGGTATAACTGTATATACCATGTTCTCTGCATTTGAAGTTTTTCACAATACAATACTTTTATAAAAGAATAAAGAAGTACATTTCCTTTACAACTATCGATGTTCACTTTGATCAAAAACTACAGTTACCCATATGGTAGAAATTATGTCAACTCTGAGCCCTATTTTGTCACCCATCAGCTTTTGCATTCCAAACTGAAAGAGAGTTGGGCTTAGGTGCCCTTTTTATTTTAAGTCAAGTCCCATACAGAGATAAGCATATATAATTACATATCATAAACCTTCACTATGTATACTGTCAAGTGCATACCAGGATCACATTTTAAGTCATTCATTTGTTGTTCCTCAAAAAGCAATAGCATCTGCAGACATTAGCTCCGTATTCAAGCCAGTGAGATGACTCACTATGCCCTATTGTTGTTTACCCACCGTGTTCTTTACTTTCAGGTGAACTTTGATGTGCTTGCATTAGGTCCAGACATTAATTGAGAGATGAAACTGTTTTTAGCTTGAGGAAAACACAAGGCAGCAGCCTGATGCTTTGAAATTGTATAGAAAAATTCTTAAAAGTCAACAAGAAATAGTTCAAACATACATAGTTGAAAACTCTTTAGTAGCCAGAGCTCAGTGAGGAAGAAAATCCTAGAAAGTCTGGGAGGGAAATGACTTCAACTGATTTTAGAAAGTGATTTACATGGTCTAAGAAATGGTTTATAGTTAGGAAAAAAAAAAAAAGAAGAAGAAGAAGAAGAAGGTAGCGGGAGGGGAAGAATGAAGCGGGGGAAATCGGAGGGGTAGACGAACCATGAGAGACGATGGACTCTGAAAAAACAAACAGGGTTCTAGAGGGGAGGGGGGTGGGAGGATGGGTTAGCCTGGTGGTGGGTATTTAGGAGGGCACATTCTGCATGGAGCACTGGGTGTTGTGCACAAACAATGAATCATGGAACACTTCATCTAAAACTAATGTAATGTAAGGGGATTAACATAAGAATAAAAAAATTAAAAATAAATAAATAAATAAATACACTGCCTGGGAGATTCAGACTAAAAAAAAAAAAAAAAAAAGAAATGGTTTATAAATAAATGGTCACTATCTAAATCACATAGATGAGTGATTTCTGAACCTACGCTAGTATCAGAAAATTATACACGCTTGCTAGGGCTTATATAGATAAAACAGATTTGTGTTGGTGGACACAATTCCCTACTAATAAACTAACCCAGCCAAAATGCAGAAACTCATTAAAAGCATTTAAATTCATGTTAAATGCAAATGTGCAATTATCTGCAATTGTGATAACCAAAATAAACAACACTCAGAACCATAAGAAGGCCCTAATAAAACATTTGAAATTGAGAACTTGACTTTTAGGAGTTAGAAAAGTAATCAAAGAGCAAAATCAGTTCATGCCAAGGTAGGATTTCATTTATATGGTGTATCCAGGAACAGAGCCAATAATCTACAAGGTTTGAAAAGCCATGAATTTCCTCCAAATTTAGGTAGAGGTACCTATAAATGGGCTGATTTCTCAATGTGGATACACACTCCAAAATGCTGCAGAGCTGTGCAGTGATACTGTCCCCTCTGGAATAGTCTTTCCTCCTCATCTTTACGAGGCCACGATGACTCATTCTTCAGGCCTTAGCTATCACTTCCATGGGAAGTCTTTCCATCTTCTCTACCCTCCACATCTCAGGTTCTGTACTCCTGCTTGGTATTCTATTATACTCTGGCAATCACCCATGACAGTACTTAAACTTTATTTTAACTTTCTGTTGTCTCCCTTACTAGACCATAACTCATGAGCCCAGAACCAGTCCTGTCTTGATTCTTAAAAATTTTCATCCAGCAAAGCACAGTACGTGGCACATAGTAGGAACTTGACAAATATTTGCTGAATATATCAATGAGTGGATGGATGGATGCATAGATAGCCAGATATAAGTATATTAATGTGTTGATCAAATTCTACACAGTGCAAGGTAACCATTTTTTAAGAATATATTAGATAACATGAGGGTCTGTGTCTGTGTGTTTCTTTAAATGTGATGGTGATGGAGTATACAACGCGTCTGTTTATGGAGAGGGAGGGACTTTCTAAGAACACAAATGCAAGTATGCCTAAATAATTCCTGAGGAGTCATAATTTTTCAGAGTTATGTATTTATGCTCAAACTGTTTCCATCCATGTTTCAGTTATTCTTACAACCTCCAAGCAAAATAGATAAGGACAGATATTATCATTGTGATTTTTCTGAAGGGGAAATGGATTGAAAAGTGAAGTGAACTTGCCCAACTGCAAATGGTATCACAATAGCCAAGCTGATGCTCCAGCCACTAGAATGGTGTATTCCAGTAAGATCACAAGTACTATCACGATCTTTCTAGAGCTGGAGCAAGAGATATAAGCAAATATCTGAGACAGAAAGAAAGCCCTTAATTCATAGTGACTAATCTGCTTTTTGCAGGCTCTTGTAAAGGAAATTTAGCTTCTGAGTTTAAGTTACTTATTTAATTAGCATATACAAGGGGATATTAGGACTGGGATGGAAGTTTACTTTTCGTTTAAGTTGATAAAGTCTTGCATTAACATTGGTCATTCAGTTCAGTAGAAGAAATCAGCAGGCTGATAAGATGAAATGCATTTAACAAGAATGACCAAGATTTCAGCTAGAAGAATTAAATATGATATTTTTCTGAACTATAATTGATAAGAAAAAAAGTTGAGTCTGATTCATCTTCATAATTAATTGCATGTGGAAAATAACATTGAGATTAAAACATCGATATTAATTGAGCTCCTTTTTGAGCCTTATAAATGAATACTGGTTTGAATATTGGTACATGAAAGCATTGGAATGAGCTACTCTCCTCCATACTTCTTTTCTTTAAAAAAAAAAAAATCAGTACAACTCAGTAGGGTGTTTTCAAATATGGGAAGCAAAGTAGGTGCTGCTTCCAAAGCAGTTTTCTGAGGGTCAGATATGAATGAGATTTTATTACACTTTCAGCCTCACATGATGCCTTTCTATCAAGGAGCTCAAGGACCTCACAGGAACAGCCACTTCCCTGGAGCTTGATCAGCAGGGATCCGTGGAAGGTGTCATTGTCCAGAAGTGAAAGGCAATGGTGACCTTCTCAGACAGAGTGGAGGAGATCAGGCATACTATTTTCCTGGGCTCTAGTAACCTGTTCTCACTGGCAGACAATATTCAAATTCTAAAGGAAGATTTCAATGTTAAAAAGAAATCTATGTGCTTACAATATTTATTGTAACAAATAACAATGTGTACCCCTTTATTCTAGACCTTCTAGCTTTACCCCGTCCCTCATGTACTGGCTGATACTGCTTTTTCTTTAGGTCTTTCTCTCTGATGGGCTACTTTCTGCTCCTCTGTGCTTCAGGAAAATAACAAGTAACAGGGACAAAAGTTGCCTATACCTCAAGAACTGACATAACAAGGTAAATATTAGGGCAGGGTGCCATAATCATAATAATTGCTTTGATTAAATGCCTACCGAATGCCAAGCCCTATACTATCACGTACACTATCATGCACTATCTCATTTCATTTTCTCCCACAAACTATCAGATAAATATTTCTATTGTGCTCATTTTGTAGAAGAGGAATTTGAGTATCAGCTCATTAATTTATTTACCCAAGATCTCACAGCTAAGTAAATGGCAAGCTCAGGATTTAAACCAAGGCTCATCTGGCCCCAGAATCATTTTTCTGGGCCATACTGCCAACCTGAAACAAAATGATGTACTCTAAGTATCATGTCAGGTGGTATGCATGCCTGCAAGCAGAAGAGATTCCAAGCTTTCAGACATTTTATGGCTGAAGGGATGATGTAGAACTAGAACTTATTGGGGGTAATGGCTAACATTTGTTGAGGGCACAGTACAGGCGCAGTACAAGAGTGTCACATGCATTGGCTCATTTAATCCTTACAGCAACCCTACTAAGTAAAATATGTGGTATTGTAATGCCCATTGCAAAGATGAAAAAACTGGCACTGAAAGGTAAAATGACTTACTCAAGGTCACACAGCTGGGAAGGGGTGGAGCTAGAATCCAAATCCAAGCGGTCTGGCTCCAGAGTATACATGCTTAATCACAACACTATATTAATGAGAAATTGGTTGAGGTTAGGAATTGTCCCAAGGAAAAAAAGTAATCACACAGTTTTAGAGCCAGAAAGAACCTTAAAGATTATTTGGTCCAAACTTTTTATCTTACCAATGAGAAAAGGGAGGCAGAGCAAGTTTAACGGACTTGCCTAAAGTCACATGGTTTGCAAGTAGCTTGAGACTGCATTACAGCCCAGGTCCTCGCTCAATCTTAGTCATGCGTTCGTTCCATTCTACCACATTATGCTCTCCCAGATACATTCATATGGCAAAATAGGAGTTGAATTCAGTTAAACTACCTTTTGTGGGCCTGCACCTGAGCTACTGAACATGACTGCAGAAAATTCACATAGCTGAGTTGATGGGCTTTACTTTCATGTCAAGTATTCATGATCACAAGCCTCAATTGAGCACTCATTTCTGCCCCAAAATGCTACTTCTGCATTAAACTTACTTTCCCATTCTTCCAAGTGACCATGATATATCTTCACCTATCTCCTCAATCCTTCCACATCTTTCCCACTCCTCTCCCACTTCCTGCTTTTAGCTGACTTTCTCATACTTTGTGGAGAAAACAAAAGCTCTAAGAAAGAGCTCTCTCATTTTCCCATCTCCAAATCTACACACTGACCCACATCTTTATCTATTCTTTCTCTTCTGTCTTGTTGAAATGGAAGGAGTGTCCCCCAATGCCATCATCTCTTGCCTGCCCAAAGACTTTGCTCCTGCTGATACTCCTTTTCTTCTGCATCATCACTTTTCCCCTTTCTACTGGATATCAACCTTGACTTCTACTCTTTCAACATTTCCGATTTCCCAACCATCAGTAAATCCTGCCTTTTGATTCTAACTTCAGAATCCACGTTGAATTTCTCCATTTCTCTTCATCTTTGCTAACATCATTTTTAAAAAAGATTTATTTATTTATTTGAGAGAGAGAGAGCAAGCAGAGGGGAGAGGAAGAGAGAGAGGGAGAGAGAGAATCTTGAGCAGACTCCCCACAGAGCACGGAGCCCAACGCAGGGCTCGATCTCACGACCCTGAGATCATGACCTGAGCTGAAATCAAGGGTCAGATGCTCAACCGACTGAGCCACCCAGGCGCCCCATTGCTAATATCATTTTTATCCAAGTCAGCATTTTCTCTTACCTAGACTCCTGCAATAAATAGCCTAATTAGCTGTTGTGCTTCCATTCTTGTCCACCTTTCACTCACTCTCCACACGCAGCCAAAGTAGTCTTTACAAAAAATATAAAACAATTCATATGATTCCTATGCTTAAAACCTTTCTATGGATTCCCACTGCTTTTAGAATAAAATCCAAACTTCTTAAGGCCTATAAACCTTGCATGATGTGGCACCATTTACCTCTCCCAACCTTATTTCATGCCATATTCCCTTTCACTTAACTATGGTGGGTTTCCCTCCGTTCCTGCAACACACCTAGCCTTTCTTGACTTAACCTGTGCTTGCTGTTTCCCAGGCTATTTGTGTGACAGACGCCTTCTCTTCATCATACCTCAGCTTGAAATGCATCTTTTCAAAGAAACCTTCCTTCCATGATATCTAAGTAGGTCCTGCCATTTTTTTTCTCAACTGTAGCTGTCTGTCCTCGCACTTACCACCATCAGTAAGAATTTTATATATGTACTCATTTATTTCTGTTCACTTGTCTGCCTCAAAGTTCAATGGGGGCAGGGACCTTGGTATATATATAGATTTGTTTTATTGTTGTATTTACAATATCTAACAGAGTATCTGGCACCAAGCAGGTGCTCAATACATTTTTGCTGAATTATGAAATGAATTAATTAATCCCTGTATCTCATTGAAAAATACCTGAAACAGTGATCAAATGGGGAGAGACAGAGTCCTTAGAATAAACCAAAAAAAGGAAGAAGTCAAGAAGGCAAGAGTTCTTCTTTAGGTCCTCCACAATCACTAACACATTGCTAGCAAATAAAGATACCCTCAATGGGGGAAAATAATTCTGACTTCTCTAGGAAAAGAATCTGGCTGGTTTCATGATCCCAAACATTTTGCCAAACTGTAATCAGCAGGTTCTGATCTCCTTCGTGATGATCTCTTTCTGAATGAAAGAAAAATATAATCTGCAAAGTCAACCCAGATGAGGGACAGGACCTTGAGGATGATAACTGTTTAAGGCTCTCTTTGTCAAATATGCTCCTTCTCACTATATATGCTTGCACAGAAAGCAGGAGTTACTTTTTACTTGGTTATTTTTACCTTGAGTCATTTATTCCTCCGCTAAGTAGTTTATCGATTCTTCAACGTCAATTTAGAGCTGGAGTTTACAGCACTCCCATCAGAAACCTTATGGTGCTCAAAATAAATGTCTTGCCTGAACAATACCATGTCAGTTGTTGAAGATATAACTCAGGTAAACAAATGTACCTAAAGGTAGAAACTAAATATAGATATCTGCTTATACATACACAGTTGGGATGTGACCTTTCTAAGAACAAAAAATAAGAGAAAAAATCTGTAATATACAGAAAATTCAGTAGTATAAAGAGTCTAATAAGGAAAATGATAGAATTCACTCTAGCATACTACCTCTCACTAATGTTCTATAACAGTTATTTTAGACAGGAAGCACAAGGTTGCCAAAAGTTCTTGTTCTACATTTCCTGTACTAGTTTCACATCCTACACATCTATCCTATTATTAAAAATATTGTCCATGATATTTTGCATAGAGTGGGAGCCTCCCAAATCTCCAAAATCTGCCTATAAACCTTTTGGGATTCAAATTCCAACTTTCACCCTGTAGAAAGCATATCTGCCTACACACACCACCCCCTTCTAGCAAAACGTTGGTTATGCTCAAATGCTTTGGGATTAGGAGTGAGGAAGTCTTGAATTACATATCTAAGTATAGCCTATTAACTGATGGGCCAGAGAAACACAAGAAAGACACAAATGTTTTAACAGTTTCACCCCAAGTGTAAGTATTCAGGTATATAATGACACATATAGAGAGCACAAAATTTCCTTTTCACCCTAGAAGGAAAGCAGGTGTTAAACTTTGAGTTTTAGCATTGCACATTTAAAAGAACTGCTTTATATGTTGATTTGGAGTCGCAACTCAGATGAGTTGCTTAGGGGATTCCCCGAAATGCACCAGAATGCAGGCATATATAAAATTATAATTACTTTCCATTCCTTTTCTCCAATTTCCTCATAATTGTTCATCCTGATATAGCCCTGTGTTCTTTAAGGGACTATGGAAAAGGGCCCAGCACACTGGGTGGTCTTTCAAAACTGTATAACCAGGCAGGGTCATTCATTCAACGAATATTTATTGAGTGCCTGCTAGGTGCTAGGCACTGTTCTAGAAGCTGGCATAACAAGCCCATAGGGGGGTTGCACAGGTTCAAATGAGCTTGAGAGAGTAACTGGAGAGAAGGCTTTCTGATTTCTAAGGCTGTTCCTTTTTTTTTTTTTTTAAAGATTTTATTTATTTATTTGACAGAGACAGACATAGCGAGAGAGGGAACACAAGCAGGGGGAGAAGAAGAGGGAGAAGCAGGCTTCCCCGCGGAGCAGGGAGCCGATGTGGGGCTCGATCCCAGGACCCTGGGATCACGACCTGAGTCAAAGGCAGACGCCTAATGACTGAGCCACCCAGGCGCCCCCCTTTTTTGTTTTTAATCAGGCAATGGAACAGCAATCATAGGCTGTCCATAGCAGGTAAGATATCAAATGGGGAGCCTCTTCCTCAGGACAACCTGACTTTGGCCTCCCTCCTTTCTAATCCCAGCATAGCACAGCCCAGGACCCAGGGAAAGGAGATCTGAAAAATGAGGGCAATTTTGTTCTGAGTAACTAAGGCAAATGGAGCCCTCTCTAAAGGGAGCCCTCCAAACCATCCTTGCCCTGAGCCTGGGTCTCCACAGCCATTTGCTTTACATCTTGGGTTTAAGGTACTTCTTTACCTTTTCCTCCCCATTACTCCAATGCAGCACAATCAGCCAGGTCACATATATAATGATCTTCACTCTGGTAGAAGGAAAGCTTAAATTTCTATACAGATCATTCATTCATTCATTCAACAAATATTTAGCGAGGACCTACTGTGAACCAAGAATGGCTCTTGGTGCTGGGGATATAGCAGTAAACAAACAGATGATCAGTCCTACTCTGATGGAGTTTACAATTTAAATGGGGGTTAAGGTAAGTTGCAGTCAATTTTGCAATAACCACATAGCTTAATACTGCTTTAAGTGATTACACAGTCCCTTCTTGTTCCTCCTTTCTCTAGTTTCTACTCTAGAGCCCAACCTTTGCACCTATGTGTTCTTGCTGCTTCTGATGTTTCTGTACTCCGCTTCTACTCCTAGGTCCAGCCTAAATGCTTGCTCTCTTTCAGCTGCCTCCACTGCCTTCTCAGGTCCTCAGGCATACTCCCGGTAGTTGTGACTATCTCTAATGAACAGAGCTCTCCTTGCAATGGGACCCCATCTTTCTTAGATCCCAGTGACATCAATTTGACCAAAATCACCAGGGTATTCACTGGGCTCTGGCTTCTCATCTTGGGAATCTCTGATTAGCCTTTCCTTAGTGTCTTAGTTGAGCCTCCAGCTCCATGTACGAATCCTTGTTTTCCTTTATTCTTCTGTAACCTTTTCTTTTCATTTACTTTGTACCTCTATTTTTTCCTGACAAATATTTCTCAACCAAGTTGAGAAAGGAAGATAGTTGGTAATATGAAACAGCACAGCCCAATTTAAATAAATCTATTTGTTAAAAAAAATCTGGATTGTCAAAAATAATTTGAAAAAGAAAGCTTCTGGGGCCAGGTACCATGTCTTCATGACTCTGATCTCATATATACACGGTTGCTTCCTGTGGAATTTCTGCAAGCTGTTCTTTAAAATAATTGTGCTGTGTGTTTCTGGGTTCTTATGGGGGTTTAACATTTTGAAACTACAGGAGCAAACAGGAAAATCTTAAAATGTGATTACTCAGT